CTTGTAATTGTCTTTAAATGCTTTTGGAGGTTCAAGTCTGAATCCAGCACTACACCTAGACTTCGGGCCAGATCAGTGGTTACTAGCTGAAGCCACTGAAGCTGTGTGCTAACTTTATATAGTGCCACCACATGTCATGTCAAGGCAATTTGAAGAGACAGTGACGCTAAAGTAGAGGCTTTGTAGATGTTAACTTTAGAAAGTCTGGAGGTGTTTTCTTGTTTATAAAAAATAACAGAGTGATTATCTTCTTTAACGGTTTTTAACCTGACAATTTCCACGAATGTACTTAAAGGATCAATAACTAGTCACTGTTATCACCATTAGTTTATCTACAGGAAATAACTGTCTTATTTTGGAAGTTAAGCTGTCAGTGAAAATTTGAAATAAGATTTTCCACATGTTGATGTGACCCTGATCTCACTGATGTGAGATAAGATCAAAAATGATTTGTTTTATAATAACAGCATATCAGAGGAATATCATTCAGTCGAATCTGATGAGTTAATTACCCCTTTTATTAAAACCCAGACCAACTTTCTAACTTTATATAGCAGAAATTATTCAGATTTCAGGATTAACGTCAAAGTTTGAACAGAAACAGCAAAGTAATTGAAATCTTACCGGTTCAGCTTTATTCCAGAAAAGCCGGTGAGAGAAAACTCAGAGCAAAACTCAAACAGTTTCAGGAAGCTGAGAGGTTTTTGGTTTTATTATGATGCTTTTTGTATTACAGCCACATCCTGTCCCTGCGGCTGGAAACAGATGTGCTAGTGAGTCAGTGTAGTTAGAGAAAGTTTCACCATGTAACACAACATGCTGCCAACGTTTAGAAAAATAGTTTCAATAAAATCCCAATTAGTTGCTTCTGAATTTTTTGGTGAACCTGTTCAACATCCTTTCATTTCTATTTCTGCCTGGGCTGGGTGTGGATGTTTGAAATACCTCCTAGTGGTCCTAAACTGCACTCATCGAGGGCCAGCTGGCTGCTTTAACCAGTGTTGGGCACATTACTTTGAAAAAGTGATTAGTTATAGTTACTAGTTTCTTCTCCCAAAA